TCTGAGACATACTTCTATATTGAACATGTTGGATCGTAACATTTTGATGGATTATTCGTCCTCGAATTTGAAACTCATTTTGAATCTAGAATAATAGCTCGGTGAATCGTTAAAAAAAGATCCATTGTATTATTTCAAAGGGTTATTATTATGCAAAACCATAATTATTAATAAAGGACACTCTGTATTAAATATAATCCTACAAAAACAGTAAATATAAATCTTTACTAAAAGATCGCTAAATGTTTGTTGTTAATAATACAGTTTCATTTGAAACGTATTATAGCTCATGTTTAACATATCGATATGTAAATCATTACATCATGATATTGTACAATGCATATCAAATATAAATCAAAAATATAAATCAAAAATATAAATCAAAAATATAAATCAAAAATATAAATCAAATATTTAAGTAGATACGATTCTATTGCTAATCCTTTAAATTTTTTGCACTGGTTGTAAACCTCTTTAATATTAAACTTAAATTACGTTGAAAAAATCCCATCCCGTAAATGGATCGAGTTCCATTAAGCCAAAACCATTTATTAAACTCTAAACACTCTCATTTTTCACCTCGTTTCTCTCCTCCTACAGAACTCCACGAAGAGTACTATAGAAAAATTAACTGTCGCTATTCTCCACCTTTAATCACTTATTTATCTTTTAATACTGTCACAAACCATAGTACTTTCCCAATAATGTATTACCAAAATGCCCAAACTTCCAGAAATACACGATCACATTCAATCGCCAGGCCACTTATTCCACCCTATATGAGCAACAGTCTTCTCTCTATAAAAATATCTAAACTTTTATACTTTAAAGACGCTAGAATAATCAGGAAATCTCTCAAGAACAAACTACGCGAAGATATAAGTAGTTACAAAGCCGATCTAAAATCTCTATCAAGTGAACACGATAAAATAAGCAATTGTTATGTAGCTATAGCATCATTGGAGCGTATGATTAAAACTAAAACTCCGAGCAATGGATTCCGAGAAGGTATTTACGGAATGTTGAAAACTTTATCAACAGATCCTGGGGAGAATATAAACTTGACTAATCAAATAATATCAACCATGTTGGAAATTATGATAAAAATATGGAATGATAAAGGATTAGGTAGATGTGCAATATGTAAGTTTGGTATTGTCATAGAATCTACAACTGATGACGTTGATAATTTGTGGTTATGTACTAATAAGAATTGCATAAGCAACTATAAAACTATCCCTGCTTCAACCTTCCATACTTGATTATTATTATTATTTTATAAAAAGAGGATCCTAGCCACGAAAAATATATTATATCGTTGGAATATTTCAATTTCCATATTTGTATAACTTAATTATTTTAATCATTTCCTACGATAAGCGTTTAATTCAGAGATAGGTTAATTTAGGATTTTAAGGAATTATTAGAATCATGGGCATGGGTTTGGTCAATAACAATTGTATTAAATGCATATTTCGAATAAATATAACATTTTTAATAGACGTCCCTGTTTCTTTATAGAGATACTGTATATTAATTTTGAATAAAAACTATTTCATTTTGCTATCGTGCAACATATGAATGCTGCTGCCTTCAAAAACACATGAGCTTTTTGCTAGAAAATTGACTTTTCGTACTATGACTTACATAGTCCCGAAGGGTCATTTATTGTCGCGGCTGAAGCTGGAAATTTTAAATACTTTAATCTGAAATTTACAAAAAATTTTGGGGTGTATTTTTTTTTATAGTTAGATTAGAATTTAGGGTTAGGGTTTATAACAAAAGAGTATAGTTGGATTTTAGCAGGGTTTATAGTTTTAAACCGAGACTTCTAATTTCTAGCATCAGCTATTTCCAGCTTCAGCCGCAACAATAAGTTTCTTTGTTTCTGGTTAGAATTACTTACATTTACACATTTGGCTCATAAGTAATTTATATATTTTTTTAATTAGTATTATTAAGGTTTATAGTAAGTTAGTAGTTATAGTTAAATTCTTATAGCTACTTTGTTTAGCTTATGAGATATTCTTCAAATATGAGTGTCTAACCCAAAAATACTAGAGAATTTAATCTACATATATATTATTATAAAGCTCTAACTTAATAATTTTACAACTAGAAAATCTAATTTTAGAGTCACAACTAATGTAGAAACTTTTAACTAGTATTTTTTATTAAGTCTATCTAATAGAATATTTTTTAGTAGACTATTACTTCTTTTAGTAATAGGTAGTTGTAAATATCTTCTAAATTATAAACTAACATAGACAAATTTGTTTATATTTTTGTATTTATTTAGCTTTTAAAATATAAAAATAGTTTAATGTATTTGGTTTTTGAAATAATATTTCAAGCTAATTCCTATTAGTGTTGATATAATTTTATTAAAATTAAATATCTTGATAAAATTAGTTTAGAAAGTTGTTAGATATATTAATTAAAAGTAATTCTGTTTGTTTTTAAACTAAATTTTTAATATTTATAATTGTTATAAATATAAATATTCTAGAAATTGCAAGAATATAATTATATTAAGAGTTTTAAAAATTGAGAATAAAATATAAGAGAATATTTAGAAGTGTAGAAATAGAAATTGACATAATTTTAAGAAATAATAGTGAATTATTAATAATTTTATTAAGTTATTGATAAATATTAAATTATTTTTTTACAAAAAAAAATATATATAGTATTTTTAATATTTAAATATTATATATAGTTTGAGGTAGTATATAAGTAAAAGTAGTGAATATTTAGATTTTGTATAATAAGTAAGTTATTTGTTAAGATTTTAATATAAAAAAAATATTTTTAAGAATTATATTTTAAGAAATTTAAAATTTTGAATATTAAATCTAATTAATATTAATAATATTATTAAAAAATTTAAGAATAAACTAAGTAAAGAGTTTTTGTATTATAATAGTATTTTTAACAAAGGTTTAAATTTTTATTAATATAAAATAGTTGTTCTAATTAAAGTATATAGAATAGTTAAAAAGAATAGATAAGAATTCTATTATAGATTTAGTAGTACTTTGTTTAGTAAGTAGACAACTTTATTGTAAAAAAAGTTAGTAGAATATAATATATTTTGATATAGTTAAGTAAAATATTTTTGTTTCTTCAAGAAAGTTAATAATTTGTAAAATATTCTAGTTTTTGTATTAAATAGATTTGTAAGAAAAAATATATACTAAGTTTTTAATTACTATTATATTATTTAAATATATAGAAATAAAAAATTATTTAAGTATCTAATAATCTTAGTATAGTAGTTAAATTGCTAGACTACTATGCAAGAAGTCTAGAATTCAAATCCTATTTGGATAAATTTGAATAATTACTCAAACTATTGTATCTAACTTATAGTTAATTCTATTTGTTTTTAAAGTTGTAATTTTATAAATTAAATTGTACTAAGTTGATCAAATATTAGAAGTATAATATAATATTACATAAATAAATCTTGATAAGCAGAAGACCTGCATAGTAAAACTCTAAGTTGATAAAGTAGTATAGCTTTTAATAATTATATTAGCTAATACTTGATCTGATAAGAAATACTGTTAAGAAAGATATAAATTGAAATAAATACAAGTAAGTCTGTTCTATAAAAAGAATTAGCAATACTAATTTGACTTAGCAACTAACTAGATTTTAGAAAATCTGTTTTGTAAAATATTCTAAAAGAGAGAATACAGATACTAGTAAAGAGTTATAGCAGAAACTAGTATTATACAAATATTACAAAGGTCTAAACTAGAGTTGTTGATAAAACTAAATTAAGCTAATGAAACTAATGACTATCTAAAATCTGATTAGTTGTTTAGCTAAACAATTAATTTTTTTTTTTTTTTTTTTAAATTCAGCAGCCATACCTCAACTTTATTCAAACAGTTTGCGAACAAACTTTTTACATTTGAAGTAAACTCCTAATATGTCTGACTAGTAAGC